TCAGAAAAATGCGTAATTATTAAAATTGGAAATAATGAAATAACTACAATTTAAATTATACAATAGTTCTGTCGTGTTGCACTTTTTAAAAATTCTATTAATTTTGAGCTAAAAACTGAAATTATTTTGTTTTACATTATAAAAATCTTACAAATACTTTCATATATTTTATTTTTTGAACTCTTTATATCTTATGTGCGTCTTTTATACAAGAGGTTTGCATTTTCAGGTCCAAATATAACCGAAAAAAGACTCGATCCATCCTACTACATCAATAATCTCTATTTAACAACATTTAACAAAGTAGCTGCCTTCCTTAAACACCCTGTATGTTACAAATAATGTACGTATGTAAAAAATTACATGAAAAATTAAAATTAATTTATTTCTTTTTACTTAACGCTTTATACTTTATATGTATATATACAAAAATTTGCAAATTGTTTATACTTAATTCATTTATACACATTTTATTCGCTACGCTAAATATCTTTGTGGATTTTTTTGGGTTATACGGGAAAAAATTTGGTTATACGAGATCGTCCTGTATAACGTGTATACCGGGTGGCTCGGTAACTTCAGTTCCAATGAAATAATTTAATTGCATAGAAAAATAGAGAAGTTTAAATTTCCGGGGTTTGTTTTTTTCTATCACACTGTATATTATATGAGATATATTTTAAATCTGCTTGAATGTCTCTTAAAACTGTACATCACGAGTTTTTACAGTTTTGTTGCCAACGATGGACATATTCGGCGCCGGGCTGACTAATTGGAATTTAAATTTCCCGCTAGGGAATTCAGGTGGTAGCGCTGCTGTAAGAATGTCAAGTTGCCAAATTTATTTATTTATTTCCTGACATTGTCATTCGTTTTGACACTTTTTGACAAGTTTTGTATTACGAGTTTTTGGTTTAAACGAATTGTGTTGGGATACTTTAAGCTTAAAAATGTTTACTAGGAGTTCTTGCAGTCGAACAGTGTTCTTTTTAGAACCCCTTTTGGTGCGAAGTGTACAAGACAGCTTAATAGCCGTAAAAAACTCATTGCAACTTTATTAGAATGTTTTGGATGAGAAAACGGTAGTAATGGCCATTTATGTCCCTCAAGCGTGAGTTTTGTTGACGTAAATAATAACTGTTTACATATTTATAATTAATTTATTTTTGTTTCCTAAAACATTTTGATTAAAAGAAAATATGTAAAAGTTGGCGGCGTTGTGCCGGTCAAGCTTAATCACGTGACTAAAAGTCTATTAATCCAGTAAGAAATAAAAGATTTAAAATATCTCATAGAATAATATACAGGGCGTTGTTAAAAATAAAAATTCGAAGTCAAAAATAATTAAAACATTTTTTTATGTTGGTTATCCTGAAAATAATAAAACTTCTCACTGTGTATTTATGTTAAGTAAGATACTCCATTGTAACGGGGTTACTTTAATGGTACACCCGGTACAATTCCGGTATAACTCGGTACACGCTAAATTCTAACAACGATATAGTGTATCATTTTAATACATACATTTTGTTCAACATTAAAAAACCGCATATTCGAGTATTCTTTGTACAGGGTAACAGTGCGTTGCACCACCCTGTATATCACTTACAGTGGGACATAGTGACTTTATTACTTTTAAAGTATTACCTATCTTAGGCTACTAATAATATATTTTTATTTTTACACTCACATGATCCATAAAACCTCGATTTTTTCGTCAAGATTTTGTGAAGCACCTTGTATATATTCACATTTAATAGCAAAATTCCGTATATAAATATTATTTTTTCTTATATATGTCGAATTATTAAATTTTTACTATCTCTCTTTTTGGCCTTTTTGAATTTGTCTTGTTTTATGCCATTCAATTTTAGGTATCATATGTGTTTTAGGCCTAAGATTATTTGTATAATTTATTAGGTTAATGTGTCCTAAATCTTGGTGTCAAAAATACACGTCATGTTTTCGTAACAGAGAAGAACTATACAAAAAGAAGGGTTCCCTAAAAATTCAAACAAATTTAAAGAAACGTTTAAAACTTTTTGATTCGTTTTTTGGGGTGTACAAAAAAAATTGTGAAGTGAAACTTAAAAAAAATTAAAACTATTTTTTACGCCAAAAAAATAGTTTTTACATGTAACAAATAGTTTTTTACACGAAACAAATAGTTTTTTAGGTGTAACAAATTGTTTCTTACACGTAAAAAATCGTTTTTTGCGTGTAACAAATAGTTTTATCCGTGTAAAAAATAGTTTTATACGCGTAAAAACTATTTTTTTACGTGTAACAAATAGGCAGTATATTTAGTAAATGACGTCTAGAGATTGACCACGCCAAAATTATTATCGATTGTTTTTGACGTCGTTTTTTTTTCGATAGTATGGTATAATAGAATAGAAATATTTCCGCGTTTCTTTACTTGCAGCATAACTAGTAGCAAAGCTAGTAGTTTAAAATAATATAAGATTATTTAGGTGTCGTTTTCAGTCTCCAATGCCATAAAACGATCATGTAATTGGATACACGAGGAAAGTGTAAACATTCTCAGAATATCATGTTCCATTATTTAAATTTGATCATTTAGTAGCTCTAAGACGTTTTTCTTTTTTCTTTATTAAAGCTATAAAATTGTATAATTAAAATCTAATGATATTCTGTACCTCTTTGTTATTTCAAAATAATAAAATGCCTTAGGTATTTACTATACCATGTAGTATATGAGATTTAGGTATACAGGGTTGTTCACCACATACGACACGGAGTATTGTAGCTAAACGATTAGATTTTTACAAATTTTAAGTTTTGGGTTCGTTGAAGGACTATTAGAGCTACAATTTAGAAATAATTTTACAAGATACAGAGTATCCCAAACAAGTAAAAAATGCTATAGTTGTATTTTTTAAATGGAACACCCTGTATATTATTCTATTTTTAGATTCTACGACTGAAATAAAGGTAAATTTTATTCAGGTTTATCACACTTAAACCTTACCGTTTTTGAAATATTTTCAATTTTGTGAAATTGCAGTAAAAATTTTAAGGCTTCATTTCTCCAAGGGTATCAAAGTTTTTAATACTAAATATTTACTGAAGTTTATTTATTGATCAGTTATTGTGTTGCAATAATAAAAATTATACTACCTTATACAGAGTGTCTAAAATTTTATTTTAAATAATTACTAGCTTTAAAGGGCAATAACTTGTTTAATTTAAATGGAACGCCCTGCACATTTTAGGAGAATCAGATGTATAATTTAATTGTCTATCAAATTGTATTATACCACTTTTTACCTATCCCTTCAAGTTTTCATAGAAAATGCATTTTCTTATAATTTAGACCTCATTTATCAATATACCCATGGAATATTGACATTTTAGATTGTTTTTAAAGCAACAAATGTACAAAATGTACAGGCTAGTAATATTATCGTTTTTAACAAAATGATAATATTTCTAGCCCATTTGTATGCAAAAAGAAAACTATTTAAATCTTCATAAAAGAGTATACCATTAATTAAATATACCACCATTATTTCCACCCAAATAGTAATTAATTACATACTTAATTATGTTCGTGAATAAATTATTCTAAATAAATGTGGATTTGAATCAGAAATCAATATAATAATAAGTTATAAAAAACTGTTGTTATAAATAAGCATTTGTCAATAAATTAAATATCATTTTTAAGGTGTTACTTTTTACCACACTGTCTAATACACATAAAAAATTCAGTTTTTTAGTTTTTGGAGCAATTATTATTAATCAACGCAAACAGTAAATTAATGTAGTTTGAATACTGGAATCATATTAATTGGTCCTCTTTAACAAATATTTAAACAGTTTTTTTTATTTTTTAATAAAATAACTAAACTATATCGACAATATTAGTATCTGTACTCTTTAAAAATTTGGTACATCTTTAAAAATAATCTAAAATGTCAGTATTTCATGGGTATATTGATAAATGAATTTAAAATTAGAAGAAAATGCATTTTCTACGGAAACTTGAAGCTATAGGTAAAAAATGGTATAATACAATTTCATAGACAATTAAGTTGTGCATCTGATTCTCATAAAATATACAGGGTGTTCCATTTAAATTAAACAAGTTATTGCCGTTTAAAGCTAATAATTATTTAAAATAAAATTTTAGACACTCTGTATAAGGTAGTATAATTTTATTATTGCAACACAATAACTGATCAATAAATAAACTGCAGCAAATATTTAGTATTAAAAACTTCGATACCCTTGGAGAAATGAAGCTGTAAAATTTTGACTGCAATTTCACAAAATTGAAAATATTTCAAAAACGGTAAGGTTTAAGTGTAATAAACCTGATCAAATTTACCTTTATTTTAATCGTAGAAACTAAAAATGTAATAATATACAGGGTATTCCATTTAAAAAAATACAACTTTGATATTTTTTATTTATTTGGGACACTCTGTATCTTGTAAAAATATTTTTAAATTGTAGCTCTAATGGTCCTTCAACGAACCTAAAACTTACAATTTGTAAAAATCTAATCGTTTAGCTACAATACTCCGTGTCGTATGTGGTGAACAACCCTGTATAGGGTGGTCCAAATTGTATTCTGGTAATACGGCAGCATATTCTGCAGATAAAAATAAGTAAAGATGTTCGTATAGATGTATCTCCTAAAAAAGTATGGGTGTTTTTTAACATGAGAAATTTGATTTTGTGACCAATATGACTCCTACTTGTAGGGGGCACCATCTACATGTTTTTTAATTGATTTGAAGAGTAATAACTTTTCGTCCGTACCTGTATTAAACTCTACTGAGTGAAAAAATATAATTTTTTTACCAAAGACATCGAAAGACATCGAAATGAAATTTCTTATGTCAAAAAACACTCAGACAATAATTTTCATTAAAATACTTGGTTGGTTCACAAATTATTTAAAAAAAAGAAATAAAAATGAAACTTCTACACCCTGTATCTCGGAAGCGAAGCATTTTAGGACATACATTTATACGAACATTTTTACTTATTTTTATCTGCAGAATATGCTGTCCAAGTTTCCAATTCGGAACACCCAGTCCATTTTTTTCATTATCTGTTTTGTTATAAAACTCTTACAGGAGAGACACTTCTAAATAATACTACTAGCTATTCATTTCTAAAAATTTGAGATTAGAAACATTTTTATTTATGAATTTACGGGAAAATAAAAAATTGTAGTCCATACTACCCAAAATTATACTCTATTAAAAAGAAAATTTTAATATTTTTAACGTATTTTCACCCCAGAAATCGAACCAAAAAAAACTCAATTTACTTTCTAAACTCCCTTTCACAGGAACACCTCTCCTTTAGCACCTTTCTTCCCTGCCCGAAACAAACATTATGCATCAGAATAGTGATTCTGATCCCTCATTGCCTTGAAACGAACAAACCCTTGCTCATCAACAAGCATAGTTTGCCCGCGCTCGTGATTAGGCAAGGTTTGAATCCCTAGATGAGGTCTAGGATGGTTTTTCCTTGCCCGACCTGTCGACCTCCTCCCTGAGGTATTCGAAGAGTTCCTTGACCTCCTTTCAAAGTCGTTTCTCTCAAATTCGTGTCTAGTACGCTCGTATTGGTGCCCGGCAGGGTTATCTATCGGTTCACTGTATATATTCCTCTCAGAACCAGCCAAAACATCGTTTTGATAGTCCTCATTGTTCGTATAAAACCCTGGATGTTTCCGAGCGCTACTCCTTTCATTCCTCATCGAGTTATGCACCGAGTTATGACCGGTACGCTCGAAATTCCCGCTACTAGGCTGTCCAAAGTTACTCAGACTCCCCTGGTCGATATTTTGACGGGAATCAAAACGATCTGAGCCCCATTTAGGACGCTCGAATCTATCGAAGTTTGAATTACGTTCTGAGTCGCTCTGGTATCGTTCCAAGGTACTTCTTTTATCAAACGAGTCGTTTTGGAACGCGTTCTTGAGGAGGTTAGGTCGCTCTACAGGTTCAGTAGGGATGTTATCATGTATCATTTCTTGTCTACTGTAGTTCAGTGCGTTTGGGTTGGTGTTACAGTTGTTTGGAAAGATATTGTCTGTACTAGAATCACTGGTGGTGCAGGGGAACAGAGGAAAGCCTCCAGAAGCCTGTTTTTCACGTTGGGACATTCTCAAACTCACCACGATCGCCAGTAATGTAATTATAGAGATCTCTATAAACCTAACGCTCAGTTCAAAACTCCAAAGTATCCAGTGATGAGGTAATTCCTGAGAGGAAAACGTGAAGTTCTTGATGAAGAACAAGGCGTATAGTTGCACCAAGCCCAACAAAATAAACAGTAAAGCCACTGCAATTGTTATATGACTAGCATACGAGATGTTCTGAGTACACATTTCGCTCAAATTCTGACTCTTTTTCGCCAGAACATTTTTTATAATCCTGTACAGGTACAAGTAGCTAAACCCTAAAGCCCAAGCTAGTAGCACAAAGACAGTTTTGCATATAGTGAACGATGCTTTATCTAAATATCCCAGTGTTTCAAAGATACTCAGACAGAAACAAAGTACTATATGTAACAAGGCGAATACAACAAGAACTACTGGTCTGGTTTTTACCTCCAAGTGAGTTAGTGTACGTTTTAGGAGAAAGAGAATCAGTACCGCGAAGGTTGTTGCTAAAAGACTTAAAGGAAAGTTATGTAGAAAGTCGTATAGGAACGGATTGAATCTTTTTCGGTAGTTATATGGATCGTATATCAAGTAAAATATCCTCAGGACGCATATAACTGTGAGCATCAAGTGAATAGTTAAGAAATAACTCTTAGAGAACATATGAGGGTCGTTTTCATATCGTATAAGTTTGTAGATACTAAAAGCTGCCAAAAGGACGTATCCTACAACCACCAAATACACATGAACGTTCCAGCAGATTAACCATATTTCATCAGAACCTACTGCAGTAACATTGGTTTGTTTCTCTTTGACGTTTGGTAAATTGACACTGTCAGAAATCTGCGTTGTCACGTCTTCAACGTAAACGTTCTTCTTCTCCTGTTTAGGAACGAAGTCTTTTTTAACTGTCACACTCTCAGATCGGTCTATGGAAGGTCGTACGTTGTCAGGGACTAGTACTTCTTCTTTGGATATTGTTTTGGATTCGATGGGTACCTCAGGTGTTTCTTCTGGCAGTTCTGGTTTTTCCAGGTCTTGTCTTTTTAAGCTGGGTTCAGCCGAGGGTGCTCGAGTTTTGGTTACTTTGGGTTCAAACTTTTCTATGTTAGGTGTTGCAGTTACTGTCCGTAATAAAACGTCAGGAATATCATCATGACGACCGTTTGAACCGCTTAAAATCCTTGTGATGCTAGGAACGTTGATTTTTTCGTACTCGAAGTTACTTTCGTTGGCGTTTCTGTTGCCATAAAAGTCACCGATGCGCACATTCTGGCTCGGAGTGTTCAAACTCTTCTTCTTTTCACTTTTTGAGTCGCTGTTAGCGTGGTTTACGTTTGAAGGACGTTCAATACCTCCAGGCCGTGCAGGAGCCTTCTCTATGTTCACTTTTGGTAAATCTGGTCGAAAAGGTATCCGGTCCTTTGCTGGTACAAGACTTGGTGGTGGAATGGGTCTTCTGTTCACAAAACTATCAGAATTTGTACCTCGCAGTGTAGGTTTGTCTGCGTACGGATTTTGAAGGTTCGGTGGTAACGGTGGAGTGAATAACGCGCGACTTGGAGGGACGTAACTTGGAGAGGCTTTGCCGTACATTGATTTGGTTGGTTTGACGTTGCGGAGGAGGTTGTTGAAGGTGGTTGTGGTCTTGTAGATGTTCTCGGTGACGTGTTCATTAGGTGAGTTCAGGTCTGGACGTATTCGGTCGTTGTTGTATCTGAAAATAAGAAAAAGCAAGATGTTAGACAGTGTTTAGTTGCCATTTTCACAGATCAAAGATGAGCGATATACAGGGGGGTCCGAACTGTAATAGCTGGGAAACTTCGTCAACATATTCTGCAGATAAAAATCCAGAAAAAAGTTTCATTTCTATTTCGATTTTCTTCAAATAGTTTTTGAAGTAACGTCAATATTTGTATGAAAATAGGTATCTGGAAATTTTTTGACATGAGAAATTTGATTTTGATGTTAATATGATTCTTACTTGTAGAGGGTGCCACCTACATATTTTTTAACTGGTTTAAAGGGTAATAACTTTTCGTCCGTACCTGTATAAAACTATTGAGTAGAAAAATATACATTTACGACATTTTCTACGTAAAAAAGGTCTCTAGGTAAAAATTGCTACGAGCAACAGTTCTCAAGATATTTAGAATGAAAATAGTCAATACATGTCTTTATTGACAAAAAATAAACATGTTGAGTAGTTATTTGACTGAAATGATAAACTTGGAAACTCTTTATTTTTTTAAATTAATCATAAATTATTCTTCGAAAAAATGATGATAAAACAGTTTTTGTTATAATAATCTAATAACTTTAATAACTATTTAGTCAACATGTTTAATTTATGTCAATGAAGACAGGTATTGATAATTTAGATTTCAAATATCTCGAGAACCATTACTCGTAGCGATTTCAAGACCTTTTTTACGTAAAAAAACGTCGTAAATGTATTTTTTTTATTCAGTAGTTTTATACAGGTACGGACGAAAAGTTATTAGTCTTCAAATTAGTCACTTAAAAATATGTAGGAGGCGCCCTCTACAAGTAGGAGTAATACTGACATCAAAATCAAATTTATCATGTCAAAAAACTCCCAGATACCAATTTTTATCCAAATATTGACGTTAATTCAGAAATTATTTGGAAAAAATCGAAATAAAAATAAAACCAAACTTCTACACCCTGTATCTCCGAAACTAAGCATTTTAAGACATACATTTATAGGAACTTTTTTACTTGTTTTTATTTGCAGAATATGCTGCCGAAGTTTCAGGAATACATTTCGGACCACCCTGTATACAAGGTGTTTCAAAAAACATGTACCATCTCTCGTGGGGAGATTCCTCACGTAAAAATAAGCTTTATTTTTCATATCAACAAATCATTTTTATTTCGTTTTTTTTCTATATTATTAATTATTATATTAATAACTATTATTTATTAATATTAAAAAAATATTTACGACTTTTCTGTAAAATCAACAGAGGAGCCAATATCTAGACACTTCAAAATTTGTATGGGATTTCCTATGTTTCCAACGACCACGCACTACCCGGTATATGAGGCAGAGCTTAGATTGGATGCATGAAGTTTTATTCTCACCTGTTTGGGTTAGCGTAATGCCTATTATTGTTGTTTTTGAGTATGTCCGCTGCGGGCGCTGAGGTCGGCAACACGTGATCCTTTTCCAGGTCGGCTCCATAGCCTTCTGTGTCCCTGCGATTGTTCTCTGGCTCAAAGTTGGGCTGCTCGAATTCAACGTTGGACCTGTCCAGGTTGTCCAGGCCTACTTCGCGATTTTTCAGGTCGACTCGGGCCCATTCGTCTGAACCATCCGAATATCTGTAAAAAGAAAAACATACTATAGTATTGTTAAGGTGTGTGGCGACATCTTTTGACAGAGCATAAAACTACTATGCCTACATTGCCAAGAAACCTGGCGAATTGAGTATTGAGTAGCGCGCCATCTCTGAGACTCAGGTGGAAAATATCGATGATATAAAAAGAATTTACTAGAAAGAAAAAGAAATACTACAGAATTCTAGAATAGAACTTTCCGGAAGATTGCGGTCGGCAGTTTAGTCAGTTATAGAATAGTGCTCCGTAATAGAAAAATTGTGAACTATTTGGCAAAGGTGCTAGAAAATTGAGTATAAGTAGTTGCATAATTAATTAGTTGTGTTACAGGGTGGTCCGAACTGTATTCCGGAAACTTCAGCATCACACTCTGCAGGTAAAAATAAGTAAAAAAGTTCGTATTAATATATGTCCTAAAATGCTTAGTTTGGGAGATACAGGGTTTACAAGTTTCATTTTTATTTCGAATTTTGAATTATCAAAATTTTTTCGAATTATCAAAATCAAATTTCTCATGTCAAAAAACTCCCAGACACCAATTTTTATCCAAATATTGACGTTACTTCAGAAATTATTTGGAAAAAATCGAAATAAAAATTAAACTTCTACACCCTGTATCTCCGAAACTAAGCATTTTATGACATACATTTATACGAACTTTTTTACATATTTTTATCTGCAAAATACGCTGTCGAAGTTTCCGGAATACAGTTCGGACCACCCTGTATAGACCTTACGAGTAACAAACTGAAACCTCAATAAAAAGTCGTAAAACTTATTGCGATATCCTTTCGAAAAATATTCTCTGTATCGTATGTGTATATTAATTATATCATAACTTTTTTAAAAAAGAACATTTCATCAAAAAGTGTCTCTTAGGAAATATTTCATCTTGAAGTAAACAACTTTTAAAAGCATCCAGTTCCTTTGAAACATGTTTCCTGATATATATTTAGTTTCTGTGTACCTGCAAGTCGTAATCGAGTACATCAAACAGTTGTTCGATCAGTCGTAAAGCATTAAAGTATCAGGTTGGATAGATATATAGACTTGCAGAAGCTCACGGTCGATGTATTTTGCCCATTTCACTTTTTCAGTTGATAAATTGTCACAATTTTCTGTTTCATTGGCATAAAACTTATAGGACAGTACCTCGCTTTCAGGTAAAAAGCTTATATTTCTAAGAATGTTTGTACTTTTAGAAACTTATTATACATTTTCGTGTGTTTTATGGAGTTTATCGTTTATGAGTCGAGGTAAAAAGATGCGGTCTTCACATTACACTGTTACTATTTTATGAAACTAAAGATGCATATTTGTCCTGATCCTCATATGTTCCTGAAATACACAACGAATTTAAAAATATTTTATTTTTTGACCCTCTTCGTATCTCGGTTATTCTGTAGAGTTTTTCACTCTTGACTCTTGATTTTGATTCTTTTAAGACGAACGATCATTCTCGTCAAAAATTAAAATATATAATCGAAATAAGATGGTCTGGAAATTATGATATAGACATTTATTTGGTATTACAACGAAAGGCTTCCTTCTTGAAGAGTTATACAATTTATTATTACAATGAATGAGTTGTGTAAATGTTAACAGCTCTAACTAATTTTATTTCTTCCGAGTGGTTGTACTTCCTAGGTGACTTTTGTGTGAGTATGCTTTTATTTTAAAGAACACAAGTTTAATTAAATTAAAATAAAAAATAATTCTTCTACATAAGTATATAAATTAAAATAAATATTAAATTTCTAAAAATTAAACTAAAGTAAATATTAATTTTCTACAATATATAAATTTGAAATATAAATTAAAATTCAACATATACTAATTAAAAAATAAAAAAATAAACATAATTCTTAACTTGTTACTAACTAACATAACTAAAAAAATTATACTACAAAATTGAATATCAGCATATACAGATTGAAATAATTAATTCCCAACTTAAATTACTAATACAAAAAAGTATATAAAAAAATATATCAAAGGCAAATTTAACTAATGCTTAAGTAAATTTCTTTGAATTGTGCATTGAGGTATGATTTGATTATTGCCTTGTTTTTTCTTTCAATTTATCTAATTATAGCGGATTATACGGCTCCCCTCACTTTATGATTTTAGTCTAGTTGTTTTTAATTTTTCAAATTTAGCATACCATATTGTTATCTGTGATTGAACAATTTTTGTGATAGATATAACTCTTTGACTTTGTAAAAAAAATTTTGACTTTTTAACTTGTGATTGTATTTTATAAATTTGACCTATGTAATTGTTTTAGCTTTGGATCTGATGATGGGAATAGTTTAAATTCCCGAAACATGTCGCCCCCCTTGCTTTTTTAAGCATTAAAATTTAAATTAAACAACTTAAAGATTGTGAGTTATTGTCCATTTACCCACCTTCAAAGGTTTTGCTTTGATAATTATTTGTAATTCAGCTGTAATTTCGTTATTGTTTTTTCCGGTAAGTGATGGAGATAAACAATTGTGATTGATTAAAATTTTATTTTAAGATGAAACGTTTGTTAACAACATTCTGAGAATTCGAATAATGCAATGAATTGAATAATGACAAGACAAGTGATATCTGTCTAAAAAAGACAGTGATTTAGTGTGACAATTTTGATTATACAAAAGAAATACATATTCTATGAGTTTACTGGTTGCCTAACGATTAACATTAATTTCAAAATACATCAACATTTAAACAAACACAGATCACAGACCACACAAAACAAATTGTTGGTTAGTATAGCAGTTAGTGATAGTCAGAGATATAGATGTAGAGAATTATCGTTTTTTTAATAAAAAATTAAACAAACATTATAAAATTAGAAAGCCAGAATAGTATACGGTTTTATATTAACTCTAATTTTTTTGAAGTTTATAAAAAGCATTCATAAAAAAATATATATCCTTCAAATTCTTCAATTTAATAGCTGTTAGTATGTAGTTTCACATCAAATATGCGCACATAGTGCACACACAATGTTTTTTTACAGTTTTACCTGCAACGTTTTGTCGACGCAAACAAATAAAAGTACGATAAGTCGTTGAGTGTGGACTGAGCTTTATAGTACCCCTTTTAAAAATTGATTATACATCAAAAGTACGCTTTTTATTAGATAAATGACAATACAAAAATGTTCTTAAGAACTGAACTCCAGAAATGAGATTAGCTTTCTTATTTTGAAATTCGATGAGTCATTCGTTATTTCAGTAGGTACATGACATGACATAAATAGTTTACGTTAAATGCTCCGGAGAAGTCAGTAACTCCTCTTGTTATTATTTGCACCACTATTTAGTTACACCCTGTATGTATATTTATATTAGATTATGTATGCATCAATTCAATTCATTTTTAATGTGACCATTATAAATACAAATTAGTTACATCTGTTTATACTATAAAATAACAAATAAATAAAGGAGGATGTCACTTTAATTTAACAGTGGGTGAGCATGATGAATCATGAGGGGTGTTTTAACATAACTTTCTTCTAAAGACTAAACAAGTATATCTATTTTTTAATATTTAGTTCAATTTCATACATTTTTATATTATCACTGTCGCCAACTTAGGGATCTCGTTTTGATTGCTGCGATTTCTTTTTTTTAATGATTCTCTGTTTTTTTAGTTTTGAATGCTTTGAAGGTCTTGATTTGAAAACCGAATGTCTCATGTAAAAGTTTCAGTCAGCTGCGGGTCATCGCGTGTTTTTAGAAGGGGGCCTTTTTTATGGTTCAAAAATAATTTTTAAGGTGTTAACGTTGAAATAAGCGTGGAAGTCACATCGAAAATTTTCGCATTTAGGCGCTACAGTAAATTATACCAGCAGAAAAAAAAGGTGTAAATACAGTAGCTAAGCGACCAGTGAGACATCTACGGATAGAGCTAGTGGAGCTCTACATTTGCCCCTTTTAAAGTGTCTACCGAAAATGCATATTTTCCGAGATATTTAATTTGAAAGATTTTTCATTTGAAAAAAAATCGATTTTTTTGTTTATTAACTTTTTCCACTTTTCTCGCCGGGTACGGTAAGAATTCTAAATGCAATTTGACCACCTTTTTAGGTTATGTTGTATTTAAAAAAAAATGCCGAAATTTAAAAAATGGGTTTTTATTTTTTTCTCACCCTGTATGTACTTTTTTGACAAACTGTGTATACTAAAAAATTTAACTATAATCAATCTGTATCTATCCACGCCCAAAAATCTTTCAAATCGAAATAAGTAACAAGTGAAAAAAGCACGATTTTGGCCGGCAATTTTTTTGGAAATTTTCTAAACACAGTTTAAATGGGGCGGATATAGGGAGCCACTAGCTTTATCCACAGAGGCCTCACTGGTCATTTAGCTATTTAAACTGTTTCCGAGATATTTCCGCAGAATTTCAACTGTAAATCGTTTTGTACGAAACCTTATGAAAATCTAAGAAACGAAAAATAGGCCATGGGGGGTGCCATCAGACGTCTATCCGACGGTGCATCAATAGTTTCTTCTAACTAAAGCCCACCAAGGGATAGAAGGTAATGAAAAAGCAAATGATCTAGCTAGAAAAGGAGCGAACACTCCACTAACTGGACCAGAACCGTTCTGCTTCTCAAAGCAGAACTCAAGAACATGGAAGACTCCATCCGTAACCTGGAATGGGAATCCTCCAACGGCCTAAGAAGAAATCGGCACTCGAAGAAACTTTTCAGGACTTGCGATCGAGAAAAAACAAAGATTTTCCTTGATTTAAGCAAGAACAATCTTCGGATTGTCACGGGATTTTTAACAGGACACTGATGTCTCCTCAATGAACACCTCAGTAGATTGAAACAACGGCGAATGCAGTTTCTGTGGGGAAAATGGGGAAACACCAGAACCTCATTACTGAGTGCGCCGAGACGACAACCATTCGTGTCATAAACTTTGGTACGACTGATATCGGAGATGGAGAACTAACCTCTGTAAAACCGTCTCAGATAC